AGTCCAGCATCTGCCTTTGCACGCTCGGTGCCTCCCGCAGCGAACGCGCTATGCGTGAGGACGAGCCGCGGCTGTAGCGCTGCCGACCGCCAGTGGGCAACGGGCGAAAACACGGGTCGCACCACAGAGACTCGAGAGACTTAATTTGTGAGATTGGTTTTTTTTAATGTCGGCGGCGCAAATTCAGGTTTCACCTTAAAATAATCAAAATAGAAATTTCTGGATTGGGTTTGATTTGAGCATGAAAGAAACACCACATTCCAATGGTTTGAAGCTGTATAATTACATGTAAGTTATTTCCAGCTCTTTTCCTGAAGCCCGTGTGATTGCTGAGAGGAGCAGACTCCCCGTTGGGCCCCGGGAACCTGTGCGTGTTGTCCCACTCCTTTTAGCAAGCGTGGAGAGCTGAGTTTTGGCCACGTGAAGAGAAAGCCAAAAATGAAGCCCTGGGGCCAGCCGTGGGGCAGGTCAGGCTGTGCTGTCCTGTTAGGCTGAATAATCCCTCATTTCCACGGGCTGGGATGAGCACGGTGGCCCTGGCTTCATCATGGAGCTCTGGGATGAGCACCTGGGGGTCATACGGGGACATGGGCACTGCAGTGGTTGTGCTGTGGTTGGTGCCTGTTGTCACGGGGGGGTGTGCAGGAACCATCTGTGGGTGGGATGGGGATGTGGATGGGGACATCTGGCACCCCGATACGTGTCACCCAGAGCCCTTCGTGAGGACCTGCCGCTTCACCGCAACTCGAGGAGCAGCTGCTGCCCCAGGGAGGTTTCCCTGGTCGCGTTTGGCTTCATCTCGGCAGCGATGAGGCTTCGTTCGTTGCAGCCCCGTTAACGAGGGCGCTGGGGCATGCGGTGGCACGCCGTGGCACGCGGGGAGCCCTCTCCCCTGAGAGCCAGGAGGACCAGCAGCCGTGGTACCCCACACCAGGGAGGAAATTAGAAAGAGGGATTTGGAGAGCCGTAAGCTATGCTCAAACATACTGGATTTTTTTTTCCCTTAGGTGCGTAATGCTTCCCTTGAGGTCGTCTCATGGGTATTTGAACATCAGTTATTTCTCACCGGCACTCATACATCCCCTCCAATGCACAGCTGGCTGGGCAATGCGTGCTATGAAGCCTTTATTGGCAGGGAGCAAAGAATTTGCAGCTAACCTAAAGAAGCTGCTGTTTACGCGTTTGTGGAGCCGTTGGGATCTCCAGGGCAAGGGCAGTCACCCAACCGCAGCTGGGCTCATCGCTCGCTCCGTGCCGGCTGACATCTGGGTCCTCCTGTGCTGGAAGAGGAAGCTGCTGCTCGTAAAGAAACTTGCTGAGCACGTAGGTGTGGGACAGCCCGGTGTCCCACGGCAGGGGGGCTCTGGGGCTGGGCTCGGACGTCACCCTAAAGAAGTGCTGCAGAGGGAAATTGGTGTGCTGGGGACAGGGTCACAGCTGAGGTATAAGGTACAGCAGCTCCTGGGAAGAAGGGGGCTTGGACAGGGAGGAGCGGTGGCATCTCAGTGCTGCAAGGCTGGGCAAGGACTGGCAGAAGATCTAGTACTTTCAGGTTGGGTATTTTCACAGAATCACAGCATGGTCAGGGTTGGCAGGGCCCTCTGGAGCTCCCCCAGTGCCACCCCCCGCCAGAGCAGGGGCACCTCCAGCAGTGGCACAGGACGGCGTCCAGGAGGGTTTGGAATGGCTCCAGAGGGGGAGACTCCCCCACCTCTCTGGGCAGCTGTGCCACTGCTCTGCCGCCCTCACAGCAGAGAAGGCCCTCCTCAGGTTGAGATGGAACTTCCTATGTTCACGTTTGTGCCCGTTCCCTCTCGTTCTGTCACTGGGCACCACTGACAAAAGACCGTTCCATCCCCCTGGCACCCTCCCTTTAAGGATTGATAAGTATTGATAAGATCCCCCCTCATTCTTCTTTTTTCTAGATTAAAAAGCCCCACATCCCTCAGCCTTTCCTCATCAGAGAGATGCTCCGATCCCCTCATCATTTCCTCCCAGGCCAAGGCAGTGTCAACTGCTCCACGTGTCCCAGCACCAGGGCAGCCTCAGCTCGTCAACCAGCTCGTTACTGCTAGCATGGGGGAGACGTAGTACAGAGAGAAGAAAACATATGGTAGTGCTCTAAAGGACTCTTCAGCTGTCCCCAGGGATTTTTGATGAGAAAAAAAATGACAATTTCATATTTTGCATAGAGTACAGAGAATTAATGGGATGTCTTGAAAGCATGTGTGCTGGGCACTCTGAACTGCAGCGGTCGGTCGTGTTTCCCCAAGATGGAGCTGAGTGTTGACAAATTCAAGCCCGAGGAAGAAGAAACCCTGTGTTTTCTGTGTGGATGGGGCCTGTGGCACCTCCAGGTGCTGTCCTTGCCTTGGCGAAGGCATCCAGAGCCCAGAGGCTTTGTTTTAGCTCGTGGCTACCTCCAGCTGCCGGCCACGCACGGGCTTTACAGGAGACCCAAACAGTGTCCGAGTGGGCTGTGTTAAGCTGCAGGCTGCCGGTGTGACGTTGAACTCAAAGACACCCCAAATATGTCTTCATGACCTCTAGGCACGTCTTCCAACCCAAAACATCTGCTGCAGGCTCTTGACCTGTGAGTGGACATGGGGGCTGGCGTCCCTTTTCAGCCCAGACCTCATGTTCCAAGGCAGCAGGATGGTCCAGGTCTGGCACAGTGGTGCGGATCCCTTCCCCACTCCCCAAAATAAATCTCCAGGTGGTTCTGGAGCTTTGCAAAGTCCCTCACCAGCTCCCATTCTTGCTCTGGGGGGGTGGGTCTCCTACAGCCTTGGCTGCAGCCATGGGTGCCGGTTACTCTGGCAAAACTCCCTGAATGTCCGATGGGAATTTTCCAAACTAGTGCCTGTTCGGGGATGTCAGCCCTACCTCCACGGTGGGCTGAGGCCAACACCTGGGAAAATTCTTCCTCCCACAGCCCTGCCGGCAGTTTCACTGTGGGGCAGCGGAGGAGTGCTGAGCCAGCTGCCTGGAAACGGCCGCTGCCCGCAGGCTGTCGCCTCAGGAGATCCGCGCGAAACCCTGCAATTCCCTTTTTTCATACAGCCGTAGCTATTTCACTTCTCTTTCGAAGGCATGTTTCTTCCCCAAACGTGCTGTCGTTAGGAAGCTGAGGGGTAGGTGGCTATGCTGGTGACCGGCGTGGTGGCCAGGCTCTGCTGCCAGTCGTTCATGGCAACCGCTCCATCGGCAGTGGGGCCAGCATCCCAATATGGCATCAAACGCTGGAAGTCTAGGATTTGCGGAGTCTAGTTGGGGGTGCAGAGTCCAGTTGGAGGGCTGTAACTAGTGGTGTTCCCCAGGGGTCAGTTCTGGGTCCAGTCTTGTTCAACACATACGGCAATGACCTGGATGAGGGGACAGAGTGTACCCTCAGCGTGTCTGTTGGTGACACAAAGCTGGGAGGAGTGGGTGACACACCAGAAGGCTGTGCTGCCATATGGGGAGACCTGGGCAGGCTGGAGAGTTGGGCAGAGAGGAACCCAATGAAGTTCAACAAGAACAAGTGCAAGGTCCTGCACTGAGGGAGGAATAACCCCATACACCGGTACAGGTGAAGGGTTGACCTGCTGCAGAGCAGCTCTGCAGGGAGTGACCTGGGAGTCCTGGTGGACAATTTGCCCATGAGCCAGCAATGTGCCCTGGTGGCCAAGAAGGCCAATAGTATCCTGGGGTGCATTGGAAAGAGCGTGGCCAGCAGGTCGAGCTTATCCTCCTCATTTACTCTGCCCTTGTGGGGCCACATCTGGAGCACTGTGTCCAGTTCGGGGCTCCCCAGTTCAAGAAGGGCAGGGAACTGCTGGAGAGAGTCCAGCGGGGGCTACAAAGGTGATTAGTGGATTGGAGCATGTCTCTGCAGAGCAAAGGCTGAGAGCCCTGGGGCTGGTCAGCCTGGGGAAGAGAAGGCTGAGAGGGGATCCCATCAATGCTTATTGATATCTAAGGGCGGGTGGCCAGAGGATGGGGCCAGACTCTCTTCAGTGGTGCCCAGTGACAGGACCAGGGGCAACGGGCACAAACTGGAACATGGGCAGTTCCATATGAACATGAGGAAAAACTTCTTTGCTGTGAGGATGGCAGAGCACTGGCACAGGCTGCCCAGAGAGGCTGTGAAGTCTCCTTCTCTGGTGAGATTCAAACCCATCTGGATGTGTTTCTAACTGCTGTAGGTGCCCCTGCTCTGGCAGGGGGGTGGACCAGAGGATCTCCAGAGGTCCCTTCCTACCCTCACCAGTGTGGGATTCTGTGCAGTCACGGATCAGAAGAAGCTGTGATGGGTCAGCACCTTTTGCACCACTGAGAACAGGATCACTTATTTTTGCATCGATCCTTTTTTTCCCCTCCACAGTCCGGAAACTTTAAAAAAATAGTATTTTACTTGATATAGTTGATATAAGTGAAGAGGGAAGGGCTAATCCTACTGAGAGACCGAGGAAAGCCGCTGGAGCACAAGACTTGGTACTTGCTGCCAAAGCACTCGGTGGCTTTGCTGCCGGTGGCCCTGCACGGCGTGCAGGATGTCCCCGGTCACCTCTGGAGCAGCAGCCGGAGGACAAAGGGTCCCGCACACATGGCTTTCGCTTTGCTTTACAATAAGAAGGAAGAGAAACTCCCTGGGAGCGGGCGTAGGCTTCTGCAGGGAAGCGATTGCGGACCGTAAGCCCCCCCCGACGGCTTTTCCTTGGGGATGCCCTCTGCGAGGCTGAGCCTCCCTCGGAGCTGCGCGAGGAAGGTTTTGCTTTGAAGAGGTAAAAACTAGCTCCTTCGTGCTATTCGCCTTCCCTGGCAGACCTGCAAAGCCACCGGGAACGTGCTGGGAGCAGGGACCCTGCAGGCAGCGAGCACGGGGTGGTGTCCCACCACCCCGACCCTTCTCATCTGAAGCCACACATGACAATTCTCCGAAGTTGGTTAGTGCCTGGCCTTTAAAGGATGAAATAAGGAAAGTAAGACGCCGTGTGTATGCTCCGCTGTGGTTTTACATGCCCACAGCCCGTGGCGGCACCCGCGTGCCCGGCGAGACGATGCGCCGCACGCCCCGAGCACTGCGAGATGATGCGCAGCACGCCCAGAGCACCGCGAGCGCTGCTCCTCCGCAGCGAGCAGGGCATGGGGGGGGGGAGTCACCAAAAAAAAAAAAAAAAGGGGAAAAAAAAAAAAGGGGAACCCAAGCCGCAAGGTTTATTTGAGAGGAAGTGTGTGGCTCATAAAGCACATCTCTATTCCCAAGCGCTGATTTAACGTCAGCGGGATGTTATCTCAGATATGAGAATGATTTCTTTTTCCCTTTTTTTTTTTTTCAGTGTACCATTTCATGGTCTTCAAGCACAGGTGAGTTTAGGACCAAGAGACGACTTAAAAAATTAAGAAACCTTATGGGGTGAGACCAGCCGGAGGCAGGGAAGGGAAAGCAAGCCGAATTTCCCCTGGGTGAGCAGGTATGGCCGAGGAAAGGGGTGTTGGAGGGGAGCGCACTGCGGACAGGACATGGCTCAAGGTCCTTTCCTGCCCAGCTACCCAGGCAGCATGTGAAAAAAAATTAATAATTTTTAAAAAATGTCGCAACAGCTAAAAAAAAAAAAAAAGCTCCAAAATTGTTTCCAGGCGTTTATCAGCTCTGCAGCTGCCTTTTATATTTCCTGCCCCCCACCAGTTCTATGTTATATATGTGTTTGCTGGGGGCTCACTGGTCTCTGGAGGCAGCGTCTCCCCAGGCAGCAGGTAACGCTGGTGGACGTTTGCCTGTCCCACAGCCCAGCCAACATACCCCTCCGCTTTCCTTCGCCTTTTCAGTCATTTAAACGTTTTTCATGTTTTTTTTTTTTTTCATTTTTAATGTAGTGATAGGATGAGGGGGAATGGCTTCAAACTGGAAGAGGAGAAATTTAGATGAGCTATAAGGAAAATTCTTCACTGTGAGGGTGGTGAGACACGGAGCTGTTGGAGCGGGGCCAGAGGAGGCCCCGGAGATGCTGGGAGGGCTGGAGCCCCTCTGCTGGGAGGACAGGCTGGGAGAGTTGGGGGGGTTCAGCCTGGAGAAGAGAAGGCGAAAAAGGGGAGACCTCAGAGCCCCTTCCAGTGCCTAAAGGGGCTCCAGGAGAGCTGGGGAGGGACTCTGG